CTTGCCCTCGGGGTGATATCACCTAGTTATATGTAAAACCAATCAGATTGCCAGATCTTGCATAACTAAAACAAAGCAAAGAAATAAAAAAAAAACAATAAACTTAAAATTTTATTATGAAAACTGTGCTTTGACTTTTAAACAAAAGTTTTCAACATCAAATTTTACATGTAAAAATACCTCTTACCTTAATCTAAAGCTAATTCTAACCCCTAACCTTAAGGTTATTTAATTTTTAATAAAAATTTTATAATACCAGGTGATATCACCATGGGTGAAAATTAGTTATAATCAATTTAATTTATTAAACAAAAAACCAACAAAATAAAAAAAATATCAACTAACCAATAACAATTATTACGAAATAAAGCCCTAAATAAAATACATATAATCATCCTTAAAAACAACAAAATCAAACACATAATACAGTAAACCGGTATGAACATAAATTTTGATCCTTGATCGCTCATCATAATAAAAAAATTTGTTTATCGTTAAAACATCTATTCAATAAATTATCGAACATACGTTCCTGGTTTCGCATGACAGCATCACGCAGCTACTTTATGTAATATAATAATAATATAAAATAAAGTAATAAATATGCTAAATAAATCATAACAAAAGTATAAATTAAAAACTGGGTTATTAATCAGTATTTCGAATTTATACTGTATATCAATAAAATTTAAAGTTTGAATATTCTTGTTTGTTTATTTAGCCCAACATTTTTGTCAATAGCCAATTAGCATGTTATATTATCACATGATTTAATATTAAATATTATGTGATGGAGACATGCCTTTTGGCCTAAAGACATGCACCCAGGTATGCCCAGAGGCATGCCCAAAAGGCATGCTTTATGCCCTGTGCCCCTAACCCTAACTATATGGGGTACATAACATTATTTATAGATACACCCTTATCTTTGTCATATAGTTTTTAACATGTTTTTTTTGTTTATTTTTCATTATATATTATAATTCTTATATTATCAAAACAGATCTGCAATACAGATCAAGGTTGAGTTCTTAAAAATTCACAAAATATAAAAAAATAATGACAATTTTTTATATTTTCTTCTATCTTTTTGCTATTTCTGCTTTTTTTATTTAAATCTTTTAAGAAACTGAATATTTCTTGCAGTTTTTTTTTCTTTTTTATTAAAGCTTTAAGTTTGGTTTTTTAGTGGTCTTTGTGTATTTTTTGTAGTTTTTTGATAATTGTTTATTTTAAATATTAATTTTTTTCTTTAAATTTTACTTTTTTATATATTTTTTTTAAAATTTTAATTTATTATACAGTGCAATATATTGTATACTTATTATAACTATATAAAGATCATTAATTTTATAATAAAAAAATTTTATTAAAACAAAAAATAAATTTTGATCAATATTAGAATTAAAGTTAAAAGCAGAATAAGACAAAAGTATAAGTTATATTAAAATTTTTTAGTTAATTTTTTATTAAAACTTCAAAAGTAGTTTTATAATAAAAATATTCTTTTTAGTAATTTTTTGAACTTTAAATACAAATTTTTTAATTATTTTTTTCTTGTATTAGTAGTCTTGTTAGTATCTTTATTAAATCAAAGCAAATATACAAGTATATTTTAAATTATTTAAACTGTAGATCTAATATTACTTAGCTTTCTCTATAGACATCCAAGTATGGTCTGCCTTACAATTAAGGCTATTGTCTATATCAGGGTGCACTAAGCTAACTAGTAAAACTATAACAAAATAGTTTCAATTCAAAAGAATTTTTACTTATACTAAATTAGTAATTTTTTCTTTTAATCTATTCTTTTCTTTTAAATAATTATTTAATTTTAATTCTATTCTATTAATCAATTCTATATTATACTTTGTTAAAAAGTTATTGCTAAAAAGCTTTTGATTATACTTGTATTTCTATTTTCATTTCTTCTAGTTTATTTAATTCTTTTTGATCGATAACCTAGCTTTTAAAAGTCTTCTCAAATTTTTCTTTTTATATTTTCCTTTTATTCTAAAGCTCTGTGATTTTTTTTTTCTAAAGAACTTGACTAAAAGGTCTTTTCTAGAAGTATTTTCTTGTAGATCTTTCTTTTTACTAACTGTCTTAGGTTTTTATTTGGCCTTTTTGTTTTTAGATTTTGAAAAGTCTATTCAGGTTTTCTTTTTTATTCTTTTTCTTTTCTTTTCTAGAAGCTGGTTTTCTTTTTAGAAACTTCTCTTGTATTTTGATAAAACTTTTTGATTTTTAAATAATTTTACTAGAATTCTTTCTACTATTTCTAATATCACATCTTTCTTTTTTTTTAATTTTTGACTTTTTTGATCTTTTTGTTAATATATTTTAAATCAGATTAATATCTATATACTATTAGAATCTTGACCAGTATATTCACTCTATTAATAGCTTTTTTTTTCTTCTTTTGCTAGATTTTTTTATTGATCTAAAAGTTTTCTTTGCTTGCTTGATATATTATTTCTGTTATCTAGTTTCTTGGATTTATTAAAGAGATCTTGAGTCTTAATTCTTCTTAAATCTTGTTTAAGGTTTTGGCTTCTGTGAGGTCTTTAATATTTTAACCTATTGTTTTTTTTTTTTGCTACTTTGGTTTTTTTCTTCTTATACTGGTTTGCTATAGCTATTTCAATAGAATCTTTGAATTGTTATATTAATATTTTCAGATTTGTCTTGTTATGCTGCTTTTGTCAAGCTTCTCTTTGTTTTTGAAGTTTTTTGCTCTATCTAATTCTAGCTTTGACTTTATTTCTGTAGCTTGTTTTTTTTATCAGACTTGTATTTTCTTTTTTTCTATCTTAGTTTTTTTTCTTATTTCGTATTGATTTGCTGTAATAGTTTTGACAGATTCTTTGAATTGCTATAATAAATTCTTCAAGACTATTTTATTATGCTATCTTTGTCTACTTTTTTTGTTCTTGGAGTCTCTTGCTTTAACCTGTTTCTAATTTTGATTTTATTTTAGCAGCTTGTTTTATTTATTATCTAATATCTATCTTATTCTTTAGTTATATCTAGATTATGTATAATATTATTTATTTTTCATCTATGATATAGCTAGCTAGGTCTGTATCTATTTATATTACTATATAGTAATAATAGAAATTTTTTTCTTTAAATACAAGTTCTATATACTATATTTTGCCTCTTCTGTATTGCTATAGTTTTTTATACAGTTTTTCTATCTGTGTCTTAGTTTCTTCTTTAGTAATAAGTTTTTTCTCAGTATATTTTGTTAATATTTGTTTTATATAGATTGCTAATTCTTTGTTAGTTTTATTTGAGAGGTTTTCTGTTCATACTTTGGTTTTTCTTAAGCTTTTTTCTATCTATTATTATTAAATATTCTATATGACTTGTTGTTTTCTTGTTGTTAATAGTTTTTGTTGTTGTTTGTTGTTCTTGTTCATTCTTTTTGTTTAATTTAGTTTATTAAACTCATTTATTATACTAAATATTTCTTTTTTATAATAAATTTATCTGAAGATATTTTTCTATTTACTGCTATCTAAAAGTTTTTTTTATTTTTTTTTTAAATTCAAGTTCTGTATAGTTAATTTCACTTTATCTATACTGTCATCTTTTTTTTGCAGAGCTTCTATTTTTGCCTCTGCTTCTTCTATTATGATATATTTTTTTCTAAAATATTCTGTTATTTTTGCTTCATATGACTTGTTATTTTTTATTATTATTGCTTGTTGTTGTTGTTTGATATGATTGTTTACTAACTTTGTTTATCTTTGTTACATGGTTTTGAGAATATTTCTTTGCTTATTTTTCATTATATGTACAGTACTGAACAGCAAGAAATATTTAATTTTTTTTAAAAATGCCAAATTTTAAGATTTATACTCAAATATGATTGGCTATTTTTGTGTAACAAGATTCTAATTGGTTGAAATTATATAAAAACAATTTTTTTATATATTAAATGCCAAATTTTTAATTATATAGTAAAGGTACTGATATTAATTATGTAATTTTTTAGAGGATAGAGGGGTTGCACAAGTACTATAGAGATATCTTATGTTATACATATATATATAACAGTGTTAATGCATGATTATCATAAAGAATTTTGATTGATTAAAATTCGGTAATTTTAAATCTGTTAATATCATTTATTGTAAAAATATACATAGTGCAATAGTATATGCCAATATCTTTAGAAATATTAGATCTCAATCACAAATACTAATATAAGAGTTATGTATACTTTTAGATGATTTTAATTATAATAAATTATATTATAAAAAACTATATAATGGTTTTTAACAAATATTAATAAATTTTTTTTTAATTTATTCAAATATGAATTACATATATATTTACAACTTTTCATTTGATATAGAATCTCTTAATTCGAATAAAATTTCTTCAATCGTATCAATTTGGCTTGATCTTTGTGAAGGTAAAAGATAAAAATCATCAAGCACAGAGTTTTGATTTTGGTTTCTTGTTTGTGCTTTTGGTCATTCTCGAATAGAAGAATATACTGTTTTCTTGTAGTTTGTTAGAAAAGCAAGAGTCAAAAAGTATTTTTGACAGGTAAAACAGCAGAGATATGAATAAGTGTTTTTTTCAAGAGATGGACAATATGTATCGTAACCTGAGATTTTTAGAAGATTGTAATATTTAAGTAAATAGATAGAATTTGCATAATATCTATCTTTAGCTTTGATAAGAGGAGGGCCATTTATTAGCTAATATTTTTTTATTAAGAGGCTACTCCCCTCCCCCCTACCTGATTTTAAATAAAAAATTTTAATTAGCTAAAACTATATACCTGATAATTTTTTTTACCCCTCCTTCTCTAAAAAATTAGCTGATTTCTGGTGCTCTCCTAATGGGTAGCAAAAAGCTATTGTTACTCTTAAGAAATTCTATTGCTTCTTTTGCTCTAAATATTTTACAACAGTTAATATTTTTATATTTTTAATATCTATAGAATATATGTACAAATTACAGTTACTTTCAATCCAAGACTATAGAATAAAGCATTCAGAAGCAACAAATGATTCATTCTTTTCTGTATTTTTTTTTTGTTTTTCTTGCTTTTTCAATTCTTCAGCCAATTCTTTCTCTGTACCCTCAAACTGTAAATTATCAAATAGGTTTGTAACTATATCAACATATTGGGTATAAACATATTTTCCGAAAATTAAATCACAACTCCAGGCATTACAAAGAATTTCTCCAGCATATTGAAAATTTTGGGCAGCTAATTCAGGATTTATGATTTTATCTTGTAAATCAAAATGCTTTTCGAAATGATCAATTGGTAAAGTAATGCCTGCAAGTTTTTCAGGTAATATTGCTATTCTTCTTTTAGCAGAATTGTATTTTGACTGCGTTTGTATACTTAAATAATCTAAATCAAACTCTTTAAAAAACTGACAATATACTTTTATGTTTTTTAAATATCTAGGATTTTTGTCTGGTTCACCATCTTCTATTAATATCCAAATAGGTTTAATTTGCTTATTAAATTTTAAAATATCATTAAATTGAGATTCTAGATTCTGCATATGTGTAAGGGAGAATATACCAGCAGGCTATTGGGCATATAAAGATCGCAAGCTGTCCTGTTCAAAGTTTATCAGTTAATTTATTTGGTTTTATCATTAAATATACTGAAGAAATTAATTTTTGTTCATATTCTACAGAAGAATCATAATCAAACACAACTATGGGCTTATTGATTGACTGCAAGGTTTTGAATGTTCAACCTACTGCTGGCACCCCAAGACCCACTTTCACTTTGTTATCCTGAGAAATGATAACAGACATATTAGCGAACATAGAAGCAAATTGCTTTGTATACTTGACAAATACAAGACAATAATATCTATCAGAATGTTCTTAAGTATCAGTATATAAAACTCCAGCAACAACAACCCATGCCAGATATCTATGAGCCTTTGTAGCAATTAAATTAGTCTGATAAGGTAAGAGATAATTATTAAATATTATTCTTGCTATATAAATATTATATCTTTTTTCTAGATTCATGCAAAGTTTTTAATAATCTGTATTTTAATCACTTCTTTTCATCTCTTTAGATCAGCTGATCTATATTCAACACAATCATGTATCTGGTTATATAGATTTGGATATTGAAAAAGCAATGATGGATAGTTGATCTTATCATATCTAACCACCTCTTGATTTTCAGTAGGCGTCTTGAGTTTCTTTTCTCTGCAGTTTTGGGCATGTCTTGTATTTCTTTTTAATTTATTTATTTTTTTTTATTTGATTTAATTTCTGATTCAGCTTTATCTATCTCTTTACGTATTTCACATAAAATTCATATATCAGTTGTGATTCCACATATTTGCTTTAATTCAGATATTTTTTTTCAATTACTTTAATTTCATTTGCTATTTTTTTTTGAGCTGTTGCATTAACAGTAATTTTTAACATGGGTTTGACCTCAATAGTAGTAGAAAGGTGGGAGACTGGCTCTACTTCTATTATAGAGCTAGGACGGCTTGTCTTTATTGTTGATATATTATAAGAGTTAATTAGAATAGTTAGATATTTTTTGATTTTATTATCTAACTCAGATGTATCTTTACTTTTAATTGTTCTTTATTCTGTTGCTGCTTCGCTACAAATATTTGCATGATTTGGAGAACTATTTCCTGTTTTCACCATAATACTGTATGTGTAAGTATTAGTAAATTCCTGATACTTGGTAGTTGGTGATTTGTAAATTAGCTTTTTATTAAAATTTGGGCTAAATAAGTAAGTTTGACAGCTCATTTTTAGTTTAAAAAACAACAAATATGTTTTTTATAATTTAAATGAAGCTTTTCTTTTTTTTATAGAGTTTTATAAATTTAAGAAAATTTTTTCGTATTAATGCTAACCCGAAAGTAGTTCTTTTCATTAATTTTATGAGTGCCTTTTATATATTCTGCAAATAATTTTTTTACTTATTATCTGATCTAATCTCTTAAGTTCGGCTAATTCATGCATTTTTAGAAATAGAGATTTGAGGCTATATAAAGAAGTATTCTCATTCTATTTTCCTTTTTTACTATAAAATTTGTGATTTTTCTATGATTTCACTTTTTTTTTTTTTTTTACTTCTATCATGAATTCGAGACTACTTCTAAAATTTACTATATATATTCATATATATTAACATAGTCTTGTTCGAGATTCACCTATTTTAGTTTAATCATTTTTTCTGTTTTTATTAATGACTGATCTTAATTACTTTTTTATTTAGATTAGCACCATTGGAATATCGGTGATAAAATTACATATATCATATAATGAAAAGTTATAGTACATATATATATACATACTTACATTAATATAACTAAAATATTAATTTATTGTATTAAAACAAGAAAGAGATGCTATGAATTTGTAATTTTTAAAAAACAGAAAATCTGTTATTCTTTATGATAATGATAATGAAATACGTATTATCAAATTATATAGGCATTATTAAAGAGTGCTAGTAGGTTTTATTTTATTATTAAATATCTGATAGATAATTAGATAAATGGTTTATAGATTGAAACTATATATTGTACTATCATTTTTTGGTCTTTATTATTAATTATTAATACTACGTATATGTTTCTATCTATACTAAAGCCATATTATACTGTTATATCTATACTAGATATCAAGAGCTAATAGATATCTAAAATATTGTTATTATATTATTGTATTAAATAATTTAATTGGGTAAATTTATATATTTTTTTGTTTTTTTGGAAGAATCTGCAAAAATATATAATATTATCTGATCCAAAAAATTAATTGGCTACTGTTAACAAATAGTATATGATTTGGAGTAGATATAGAGTTCTCTGCTATATTTTGGACAATAATAAATTCTATATAATATTAAAGTAAAATAAGTATTAAGATTATTAACAGAAGTATTCTAAACTTAAATACAATATATGAATAGTTTGTATAAGTTTTTTTTAAATCTAAGGTTATCTTGAACATTTTAATTATTCTTTTATTTAACTACTTTTTTATATTTAGTATTTCTATATAGCTAATACAGATAGTAATAGCAATAAATAACACAAATTTTGCTTTTAAGCAAAGCAAACCAGAAGACAGATTCTTTTTAGATTCTTTTGTATAGTGAATATTAATGGTTTTTAATGCTAAGAATGGTTTTTATAGCAATTTTTTTAGTGAAGTATTATATTCTTAAAAAGTACTTTAAAGTATATAAATAAGTTACCCAAATAATTAATTTGGATCAGCCAATCAGACAAATGTTTTTTCATAAAAACTAAATATGTAAAGATAGAAGTTTAGGGTTAAAAAGTTAATATTAGTAGCTATAATAATAGATTGTTGCTTCTTATATATAAAATTTTGTTTTAGCTATTTTTTATTAGTGTATTATAGTTGATTTAAGCAATAGTTTTTGAGTATTTTATTTTTTTCTTCTTTTGCATGTGTTCAGAATTCATATTGGACTGATCTGGAATTGTTAAATTTTATAAATTCTGATTGGCTATTTTCTTTTAGGATTTTATATTATTTGCAAATAAGTGTATCTGAACTACCCCTAGAGCATCTACAAAATATCACTGATACGTGATTTTTTGCTAATCAAATTTTAAAATCAGATATAATATTACACAATTAGAAAAATTCAAAACAAATATTTGTTTTGTCAAAAATTACATATTTATTGTCGGGGATGATGCTGAAATCGGATGATGCTGAAATTTAGGGGCCTTAATTTGAAAATATAAATCCTA